GTACAAATAATAAATGTAATATGTTTAAAAATATACATTACAAATATTGTGTTTAAAAATATGTTGAAAAATATCTTAACAATGAACATATAATGACGGCGATTGTTTTAATCGTGGTACCGTAATGGAATACAAAATCCAAGCCCTGTTTCTCTTTTTCAGGGTGAATCAGTAAAGCGGAAAGTGGGTCTATCCGTAAATACACCAAGGATGTGAGTTTCCCGAGTTTTATGGGTTTGTACCGAATGTCAGGTGTTTTCCATTATCACCTGAGAATATTACGTTATTTGAAAACTTGCGAACCTATATAAAAGATCACGCAGCGATTACTGGCTGGCTGGTAATCATGACAGGAATATTACTTGTTCATTGTTGCGGTATTTTTAAACATTTTACAAATATTGTTTAAATAATATGGTTCTCTAATTACTATGGGTCAAAACGACTTCTGTGTGGTAAAAATATTGCATCATCATTCATCATATAAATCATTATTCTTCATTTTTTAAAATGTTTCTATCGTTCGCTCTAGCGATGCTGCGAAAAATCTGTCACTACGCTAGAGGGGATAACCTACCAATGATGGGAGTGAGAGAGACGCATCCTCTCTTTCATAGCGTATATCTCTGTCTGCGTCTCGTTCCGATCGGATCTTTCCCTCATTCCGGCCGGCATTTCGAGCTTGCGCAGTTGACCTATTCGCTCTGCAGGCCAATGGGCCCCTTTGAAACACCCAGTTTTTACACGCTTTTCCCTATACCTCGCAACTTTATGTTTCGACCGTGCCTTTCCGTGCCGGCGGACAGTGGGAAAGGTCCTTTACTCTTCCTAAACATCCACTGTTCCTCCTGTTCCTCCTGCTCCTCCTCTTCCGCCATCTGCCTTTTTCTTTTCCACAACTCATTGAGATCCCCGTAGCTCCCTTCCAACGTACCCCTCTCTCTCATCAACCTTTCTGCGTTTGTCTTCCTACCCCTTTTCTCCGCTTCTTCCTCCCCCCGCCGCTTTCTCCACTCTTCTTTCCATTCTGCTCTTTTTCTTGACCTTTCTTTCTATTCCTCACTTTTCTCTGACTCCCATTGTCCCTGCAACCTCCGCTCCAATCTCGCACTTCCTTGTCCTTTCCCTTTTCTCCGCTTCAAACCTCCTCTAACTCGCGCTCGACTCTACCCCTTTCTCTACTGCTTTCTTCCTATCCCTACTCACCTCCCCTGCTCCCGTCCGATGTCACCACCGTCCCTTCTTCCCTATCCCCGCTCCTTCCTCTTCTGTCTTTCTATCTCCCCCCCCCCTTCCCTTCGCCCCTCGCCCTGCCACTCGCTTTCTCTAGTCCCTAACTTCTCTTCGCTTCTTTCCAGCCCTTTTCTCCTTCCACTCCCTGCCCTTTTCTTCTTCCCTATACTCTCTCCCTTGTCCTCACCCCTTACCTACTGCACTCCCCTTACTCTCTCACCCCTTCTCTCCCTTTCCACTCTGTATTCTTTCACACTCTCACGACTTCGCAAAATTCACAGTTTCCCCACTCACTCCGGAAACGGAAGTCCTATTATGATTAGGATTATGTTATCGCGCATGTGGTGATGACGTAACAGTCAAGTGACATTATCTAAGTAACTTCGTTTAATTTCGGTAATGTTCGGATGATCTAGGCAAACGAAGTTAAGTCGTACGTGATCAAATCACGGTTGCGTGTACACGTGTCGGTACGAAGCAGAAGTTTAAATTATTTGAATATTGATTGAAGATTAGAATAGTGCATGGCTTAAGAGCATTGCTCAGCTTGCATTTCTTATGTTAATCCATGTTC